TAAACTACTCTCAGTCTGAATAAACTCTCTTTTATAGAATCTAAACTTAAGCCTCTTAACATTATAATACGTTATACGCTATTATGATAAGAGATCAAAAGATTAAACCTTTATGTTGATATATCGATTTGTATTTCGCTTTTCTAAAAAAAAACCACATGTTATTACATTTCAGAAAAATGTACAGAATTTGTCAGCGTTTTTCGGAATTTCGATTTTGGAATTTAGCTTTTAGAGTTGTTGGAAATAATGCGTAGAATAGGTAAGAATGGATGAAATACCATTCGTTAATATTAAAACTGATTCGAAATGTAATAGATTTACAAAAGATTATCATCAACAAGTTCGTTTTTTTTCAGTAAAAAAATGTTTTTTCTATACAGAATTTGCTTACAAAAATAATAAGATATCTGTTTTAAACTACATGAGCTTAAACCTCATGAACGATAACTTTTGGTGAAGAAATTATTTTTTCGTTAAATTTCAATCAGTAATAGAGTACCACATCTAGTACAAGAAATCGTTTAAATTATTAGAGAATACTGCAATAAAATGTAGTAACTACATATTGACTTTTGTTCAAACATTAAATAAGCAAGCAGGCAAGCAAGCAAGCAGGCAAGCAAACAGACAAGAATTCAAGTAGGTAAGTAGGAAAAGAGACAAGCAAGAAGGCAAATTGGAAAAATTCGTGAAACTGAAATGCGAGGGCCTTATTCAGAAGGTTAGACGTTGGATATTCTGGACGGTTGCTTTTTAATCTTCGGTAGGTGAGTTCTAGCTATAGTCAACGTTCTACTCTCCGCCGAGTAGAAGTTTTCGGGTGACCAGGCTAGCACGCTTATAACGCAAAGGGGGGAGGGGGCAACAGCTTCTCTTACAAAAGTGCACACGCCCTTCATTAGACTCAGATTTTATATAAGTTCTTGTCAACGTCCAAAATCTCAATTACATGCTCCGTCAATGCTGGGCCAGGCCCGGGCATTCGACAATAACATGCTCTACTGACTCTAAGGTTTTTTCGCAGTGTCGACATTGGTCGTCGTGGCCAATTTTCAGATCCTACAGGTACGATCTCGACGGTCAGTGCTTTGTTCGGAGCTGGGTAATGACAGACAGAAAATAAGGTTACGCGCCTAAGAACATAGGATTTGTAACGCATTACTGAAACCCTCTTAAATTAATAGTAAAGTAAAAGTAAAGTTTCCCTTTCAAACCTGACGGTTTATGGGGCAAGTGAAGTAGAGTTCACTTGTTTCTGTGACCTCGGCATATGAAGAGATAGTGTGGTCAGCACTATGCCCGGCCGCCTTTACTTTACCTAACGTGAGTTGGGTGGACTCAGGGACGGACTACTGACAAGAACCCGGATTCGAACTCGAGACTTACGAGTTAGCAGTCCAGCTCTCTAACGCTAGACCACTCCATCCCACTCTTAAATTAATGCGTCAGACTTATTTCTGAGATCAATATAACGCGCGGGACGGGCCTGATAGTATATATATATATATATATATATATATATATATATATATATATATATATATATATATATATATATATATATATATATATATTTATTTATTTATTTATATGTATATATATGTCATGTGTGTTTAGTAATCATCATATACCCGGCATTGCCCACCCTAACAACAACCAACCAAAACCAAAAGACAAAACAAAAACCGAAAACAACGCAAACAAAAACACAAAATAAAAACAAAAACGCAAATACAAACACAAACACAAACACAAGCACAAAGAAAACACAAACGAAAAAACAAACGAAAAACAAATCAAAGCCAAACGCAAACCCAAACACAAAGAAAACGCAAACGCAAAAATAAACGCAAAGATCTCACAGTCTACCCCGGGGCGCCAAATAACAGCATGTTGGGGCGCCGGCGGGACTGCCTATTCAACTTAATAAACTACTATTGTTCCCCAACCTATTCATAATCTTTGCACACACTTAAACGAACGTAGGCGCAAAAGCGAACACGGGAAATCTCGGGTTCTCGAAATAGCACCCTGTATGGGCGCCGGAGGACGCCCGAATTTGATACACTTAAAGACTATAGTAACCTTTCTTGCTGAAATGTTTTTTTCGGAATTAAATTGTATACTGCTAAATGTACTGTTAAAAACGTATGACAGACAGACAGACCAACAGACAGACCGACAGACCGACAGACCGACAGACAGACAGACAGACAGACAGACAGACAGACAGACAGACAGACAGACAGACAGACAGACAGACAGACAGACAGACAGACAGACAGACAGACAGACAGACAGACAGACAGACAGACAGACAGACAGACAGACAGACAGACAGACAGACAGACAGACAGACAGACAGACAGACAGACAGACAGACAGACAGACAGACAGACAGACAGACAGACAGACAGACAGACAGACAGACAGACAGACAGACAGACAGACAGACAGACAGACAGACAGACAGACAGACAGACAGACAGACAGACAGACAGACAGACAGACAGACAGACAGACAGACAGACAGACAGACAGACAGACAGACAGACAGACAGACAGACAGACAGACAGACAGACAGACAGACAGACAGACAGACAGACAGACAGACGAGATATCGTCTACTCGTTTCTTCCTCTTGACGTCATTAGCAGGGGAGGCGTTTCGTTTTCGCGGAGCGCGCGGCGTTGTAAACAAAAAGGAGGAGGAGAAGGGCAATGACCTCCCCTTCCACCCTTGTGTTCCTAGATGACAAACAAAAAGTGAAGCCTTTTTATCATTCTTATCAACTACAGCGTCAGCCAATCTTAAGACTACGCAAACCCGTAGAAAGGTATAAGCAGTCCTCTTCGGTATAGAGCCGGACAAGGAAGTTCTCATTGTACTAAATAACCACTCAAAGCAAATGTCATGTCACGTGAATAGTTTAAACAACAATCTCCACACTGGGAAGACAGCAGTAGAAAAGTAAGGGACTGTTCAGGCAGTGTTTCAATCATTGATGTTGAATCAACCACACCCGATGTTATCACTCATAAGGTCAAGTCTCAAAGACAAAACACTGATGCTAAACAAGACATTAAAACTGAATTCTATGCCACTATGTGATACAACTAATATTGTCTTTGCAACCACAACAGTGGGGTATAACGTGTATTAAGTATATATAGATATATTCGTGTATGTAGAGATATGAAACTATTCTCACCCTTTTATTATTAGACGTCAACCATTCTTGTAAGTTAGTGTCGATATATGAAATAAACCGTTCAACATCATTATCCACCAAATGGATTTTATTATGTACGAAACAATATACCACAAAGCATCCAGCGAAGCCGAAAAACGCCACAAACCTGCCCCAAATAACACCACTAGAGAAGATTTTATCAACTACTGTTTAAAAGTATCATAAGCGTTGTTATCAGTAATATTATGCTATTCAATCATATCATTGAATCTATTTCTAAATCGTTCCTCAAATTCATCACCAAGACTACGCATTGCCGCTTGGACAGCAATGGGAGTAACACTACTTTGTCGGCCATCATTTTCCCTCTGAAAACCTTCCTTCGCTACTCGGTGTTTGACATAATCCACTACTATTGAACGAGTATTAAAAGATACCATGTTTTCAGAAAATTTACTTGAACTTTAACATATCTTTTTTTAAAAAACCATCTCAAACTTTAAATGAGATTCATTTATATTACACAAAAACCGCCTAATTCAGAAAAAAAAAGTAAGTGACAATCTTCAGGCATAGGCCTACTTATCATCTACAGCGCTATCACATTCAAATTAAATATCACACCCTCAACTCACATACACAACACAACACAATCACACACACATACGCACACACACACACACACAAACATACACACACAACACACGACCAAAAGACTCGACAATTTTCCCATCCGAGCGATCCAAGTGTGGTCATCACTGTACATTAACTGTCCGTATATTGATATGTCGTGGGTTATCATCGAGATGGGTTGTTGTAATGGTTGACTTACGGCTAGTGTCTGATGTTAACGACCAGCAGTATGTTTGAGTCAGGAGCTGTTTTGTAAAAGTATAAAGTGGAGAGGTTTGCATCTTCTTTAGCTCTGACTTCTGTCTGAACACATTAGCTAAATGTTTTCCCTTTACCTCTTGGGCAAAGGACACAGGACTGGCCTGTTTATTTACAGACACCCAAAAAAAGCCCCACACCCAACTTTGAAATATTTCCAACTGTAATGTAAATTCTACCCAACCTGGTTGTTGGTCATGTCTGACATTAGGTCTTGATGTTGTTGATGTGTGACATCAACTATGTATGTTGGAGATAGATTAGAGCTTATGTCCAGCATTATTCAGGTACCAGCCATTTAACTTGGATGGTTGCACGGAACAGGGACGACGGCAGTATTAAGGGTGTCACCATAACATCCCTACATAAAATAATTGGTAACGATGGTATTCAGGAGTAAACAGATGAACAGCTGCTCCTTTACCACTTAAAAATGTAGATTTGCTAGACAATAGAGTTTAACTCGTACAACAAGAATCATTTCCCCTTTCATATTGTAGTTGGTAAAATCCGACTTTAAAAATAAAAATAATATTAATTATAGCCTTGGCGAAGTAGTGTGACCACTTTTTTTCATTGTCCGATAGCTCGGGAAGCAAGCTTAAAAGTTATCCTACAACCGTTTTCAGCGTCAACGGTTCGACAATACATTAACGATCGAATTATATCACGTTTAACACTTCCAATTATTGGGACTAATTATAAACCGTTATTTCAGCGCTTTCAGGATGTCTAGTGAAGATAATAAAGTGACGGAAATACAAACGACGAACGACAGTGGTTTTAAAGTGGCGATCGTCAGTCAATTCATGAACAAAAACACTTTAAATCTTAGAAATCTAAAGGATGGTGCAAATTTTAATTTTCCAAATAATTCTGGTATTAGTATGTCTCGCTTATGTTTTGAACGAC